ATGAAAATATGCCGCTCAAACACTATACTTTTCTGCTCACACTGAAAAAAAATTAGAGGGAACATTGGCCCCATGATCTTTATGTAAGTGTAACATGTGTCTTGTTCTGTGAACTATGGCCAAAGACCAAATCTAAAATGCTTACCAGTATATTTTAGCTAGAAGTTTGACAATTATTTGGGTAAAACTGAAATGATTAAGAAACTGATTAAATGCTTATATTTCAATTTTAGAGCAGTTTCAGTTCCAACTACAGTAATTTATTTTACATGCTATGATCAACTACGTGATGCCCTCGTTTATAAATTAGGAGAAAATGACTACATTCCACTTATTGCAGGTGCCATAGCCAGATGTGAGTTTACTAATTTGCAGTTTACTATTAACTGTTTACTGTAACAAAACATATATTAAAAATTAACCAATATGACATAGAAAATAATCATTATATGAAATAAATGAGTATAATTAATTATTTCTCTGCTTTATAGTCAAAACGTGTACATTCTTAATCTAAGAATATTGCCTAATACATATATAATATTTTATGGTCTCTTAACTATGATTCAGAGTTAGGAGATACCTTTAGCATAAATGGTTCTTCCTTAGATCTTGAATTCCTCCTCCTTTACTGTGTCTAAGATAATACTGATTAAACTTAAAACTTAATAGTGAGCATGGTAAATATGTTGATGTAAGAGTTGAATATAGCATATATGCAAAATTTGTCCTATTTCATGGCCTAAAGCAACAGCCCCCAAGCTTTTGGGCACAAGGGACCAGTTCCATGGAGGATGGTTTTACTATAGATGCATGATTTCGGGCACTGCCTGGATCCTGTGTGTGGACAGATGGGGGTTTTGCTTGCTTGCACGGCCTGTTTCCTCACGAGCTATGGATCAGTGCCAGTCTGCGGCATGGTAGTTGGGAACTCCCGGCCTAGAATATTATTAACTAGCAGGCCAACAGAATATGAGTAGCACTTTTTTAAAGACCAGTTTCCATTATACAATCAAATGACAAGTTGCCATTGTAATATACCAGTTATGAATTGTATTTACCTGTTCAGCATTTTCTTGTTTAAAGCACATTTCATATATAATTGGGAAGAAAGTCTCTGAAAGATGCATTCCAGTTTCCTACAATAATTGTCATAAACCTTACTTGAAGGAGGAATTTTAATTTATTTGTAATCCTAGGGTTACAATCCTAATTCGGACTGGAATTTCCATCACTAAAATAGTTGTTCCATCACTAAAATAATCATTAAGGAAAAGATCACATAACCATGCTGTTTAGTGTTAGTCAAAAATTTGTTTGTAAGGCTGGGACCGCCTGCTTCTGTCCTGCATAATTGTCTCTCTTTCAACTCCCACCCATTTCTGCTCCTTTGGCCACCTTACATTCCACCACTTTACACCTCCCTCCAGGATCCAGACACGTAGGCTCTGTTGGCCCTGAGCTTGCCTCCACCTCTCACAGGAGGCTAAAGGATGGTTCTCCAGGACGCCATCCAATAGAGGAAGTTCAGGGATAAGGACTTCCTGGAAGTACAATTCATATTCTGCAACTTGCATTTTGGAAAGTAGCCCTTCCAGCATGAGGACAAGGGCTTCTCAGAAATGCAGTGTGTGTTCTACAGCTCATTTGAAGCATTCCTGGAGAATGGCCTATGGGCTTCAGTGAAGGTTGGAGACAAGCCAATAGAATCTTATATGTTTGGATTCTGCAATATGCAGTGGAGTGTAAGGTGACCAAAAGTGATATTTTTATGAAAATGTGATATTTTCATAATGACTAATTTTCTTTAATAATTAATTAGGGATAATAGTTTGTTGTGCTGTCTAGAGCAAGGTTAATATTAACTCCAGTAGGTCATGTACAATTATACCTGATGTGTGTGGTATAAAATGGCTCTCAGGGCTATATGTGATCCATGTTGAAGCTATAAGCAAATGCATGAATGAATGGATTTGTTAAGGATCACCATGGAAGGAAGAATCTTTATTTTCATCTTCTTCCTAAAATTCTGCTATGGTAGATCTACAAAGGAGATGCAGTGATCTGAAGCTTAGTAATCAAGGAGGGAAAGAGAAGAGAAAAGAGAAGCCTCATAGCCGTGCACTGACTTTGGGGCTATAAACCTGATGGGTAAGGTACTAGGTGCATTTTACATTTAGAGCATTTCATTCCCATCACTATAAATCTGGGTTAATGAAGCACTCCCTGAATTTAGAATCAATCTACAATAAACAATATTAGAATCTTGAGTTCTTTACATGAAAGTTGAATTATTAATTTATTAAATGTGTATGATACCTCACTCCTAACAATTCTGGGATGAATTATACTGCTGAATCAATAGCTATCCATATGTTTATTATGTAGCGAAATGTTTAATGCCCAAAAATAATAGATATGGGCATATACTTAAAGCAAATGTCTTGCAGAAAAAAGTTTGTAAATTTTGAGCACTGTATTTCTGTCTCAAATTTAGTATGTTCTGCTACTATAATAAGTCCAATTGAAATGATTAGAACAAGAATACAGTCTGGACGATTGACTTACACACAACTCCTTGCTCGCATCAGTACAGATGTGACCCAATATGGCTGGCTTTCACTCTGGAAAGGATGGGGTCCCACAATCCTTAGAGATGTGCCATTCTCAGGTATGATTTCTTTCAGAAATACATATTTTTATATGTGCTGGTTACTACAAGCTCTCTTCTACTGAGGATTTTAGGGTTCACAAGATACACGTTTTAAAAATACAGTTGTGTTTTAGTAGTATAAAATATGTGCATATCATAGGTAGAAGATACCTATATTTTTCAAATTTACTTTCCTCAGTTAATAGAATACAACACTGTTTTTATAGTTTAGTAGTTGATGATTTTGGCTTTATACCAGCATTTCTTTCCTTCAGATATTAACCAAATCATCTTGCTCTTTAATTTTTGACATAATTCATTGCTGGAACCATAGCTATCCCTAGCTATTATTAAAACAAAGAAGAGTTAAGCTTTTCAATAGTTGACAAAGGAAGAGTACTGGACATTGATATATACTAATATTTCTATTATTATTTTCAATTATTTGGAATTGGAATAATGCTCAGGTGAAATAACTTTTATATGCTATTCATCTTAAGTGTGGTTTCCTAAAAATGCTGTATTACATAAATCACAGTTAGTTACATTCACACATCATATTCATCTGAAATTAAAATTAAATAAACTGTTTTATGCGTTAGCACAGTATTTGAATCTTATTTGTATTGATCATCATGCTTCATAGAAACTTCATCCCGTCAGATAAGTCATAAATAGCAATAGCACTTACACTGATATACCGCTTTGCACTGCTTTATAGCCCTCTCTAAGCAGTTTACAGAGTCAGCATATTTCTCCCAGCACACTGGGTACTCATTTTATCGACCTTGAAAGGATGTGTCAGGGTGGATGGAAAGCTGCCTGGGACAGATACAGGGGAAGATCGGCTTCTGATAGCAGTGATGCTGATAGGCAGCAATCCCCTCTGATGCGGAACAGCTGCTTCCCCCACTCAATCCAAGGGCACAAAGGGCAGAATATAGGCAAACTCTGGAAGGGCTGTGCCATTCCTCCTCAAAAAAAAAACACCTGAGTGGATTGACTTAAAGAGAAGCTGTGGGGAGTCTGTTTGTTTTGGCTTACATTCCCCTAGCTTTGACTTGTGCCTTTTGCCTTACTAGCCTTGAGTTCTGCCTTTTGTCTTGCCTTACCTTGAGAACTGCCTTTTACTTTGTACCTTGTCTTTGCTTTGAGCCTTTTTATCTTGACTTTGCCTCATGGACTTGCTTAGCTGGGTGGAATGGACTTGGGACCCTGAACCTTTCCTGTGAGCATGCTCCTACTCTGTGGACTTTTTTTGTTATATACAGGCTATTGTTTGGGAATTGAGGGTGGCTGCTTTCAGAGTAGCATGGGGTGGAGCCTTACCAGTCATTGGAGGGCTATTTGGTACAAAATTTACTTAGAATCTTAGAGCAATAAAGGACTCTCTAAAAGTCACCCATGTGCCGGTCAGGATCAACCTCTTGGCAGTGGAATACACAGTTAGCCTGCAATACTGCATTCTAACCACTGCACCACCACAGCGCATGCTCAAATAGGCAACTGATGACAGCTTTTTTATTAAATGAAATATGATATAAGATAGATAGATGATAGATAGATAGATAGATAGATAGATAGATAGATAGATAGNTAAATCCTATTACTAGAAGGAGTAGTAAAAAGAATACTTGGCCTGCATTTCCAAAAAAATCAAGATAGTGTTAGAAATGTTTTTTTTTTAACAGTTGAAAGTTAAAAGGAGGAAGCGTTCAAATGGGTCAGTCTTAAAATCCTTGACATGACACAGAAAAATGAAGAAAGTTATGATAGGAAATGGAGGTAAATATTGTAAAAAATAGTTCCCTTGCACTTCCTAAAACCCTGCCCCAAAATATTTCTGCTTTGACTAGCATGAACCCAGCCAGATGACCCTTGGAAACAGCTGTTCTTCTGCCACAGGAAATCTAATCAGTTCTACAGTAAGAAAAGTAGTAGGCAGCTTAAAGGAAAAAAAAAATTCATTTGATTTCTGTGTCTACCAGTCTCAACAAGGGACTGCAGTGTCCATAAAAAACTAAAACAACATTGCAAATATATATATGGTTGCCGAATGAAATTTTTACCATAGGTGTTAACAGAATCAAGAAATGGGGCTCTTAACATATCCCAGATCCAGATATGTAACTAGGTCTTCACAGTCTTATGTAGGGCCAACAGAGTTGGGGCTATCCTAATCTCTGAAGGAAGAATTATCCAGAGGGCAGGGCTATGGCCAAGAAGATATGACTCTTAGTGCCTGCCAGTCAACATTCCTAGGTAGATGGAATTCATAATATGCCAAACTGACAGACCAAATTGGACAAGTTAAAACAACTAGAAGACAGTCCCTTAGGCAACCAATATCAAGATTTTAATGGTGACAACCAACTTCTTGAATGTACCTGGAAGCACACTAGCAGTCAGTGCAGTTCCTATAGTAGTGGTACGTGTCGAATATCCAACACCATTTACTACACATGCAGCCACATTTTGTAGTTGAAATTTTTGAATGATCTTCAAGAACAGCTCCGTATAAAGTATGCTACAGTATCCAGAGAAGAGCATGAGTAAATGTGAGCATAGCCTCCTAATCCAGGGATGAACGCCTCTTCCATTCAACTCTGTGCAAAGGCCCTTCTGGCTATAGCTGTCACCTACTCTTCTAGCAGGCACCATGAGGCTAAGAAAATTCCCCATCCCCACTCTTCATTTTGTAGAAGATTTGCTTGGAGCAATGCCACCCCATCCAGAACCAAGAATGAAAAACCTTGTCACTGGACAGCACAGTCTTGCAATAGTTCAGCACCTTTCTCCAAGGCTGGTCCCAATTGTTGTTAGGGAATGAGAGATCCAGCTGTGGCATGCCAAAGAGCTCGGTACTCTCTCCATTCCTTTATACATCTACATGAAACTGCTGAATGAGATCATCTGTCACCATGGGTTGAGGAATCATAGTTTGCGGATAATACTCAATTTTATATCTCCATCCGTGAAAAGCATTAGGAAGTTTCAACTGGTGCAGAGTGCAGTGGTGTGAGCAGTCTTTGGGACCCCCTAGAGTGAGCCACATTACACCACTGTTCTGTGAGCTGCACTAGCTACCAGTTTGTTTCCAGGTGCAATTCAAGGTGCTGATTATTACCGTACCTATAAAAGACATGCATGAGATGGATCCAGGTTATTTAAAGAACCACCTCACCACATGGAAAAACCTGCCCCATCCTTTCCAGTGGAAATGGCATACTCTGGATCCCACCAGTCAAGGAATTCTGATTGGTGCAGTCCAGGAGAAGAGCCTTCTCTGCTGCAATCCTGGCTCTTTGGAACATCTTGCCTCCTGAGGTGAGATTGGCTTCCTCAACAGCCCGAAGATCTGGTTTGGCCAGTTGGCTTGTGGCTGTAATGGGGGAGTACCTTATTGGAGGTGGTTGATCGAGTAGTCACTTTGCAGTAAAATGGGCAGCAAACAAATTTAATAAATGATGATGAATGAATAATGGAATCATAAACATCCACATCTGCCTATCCCAGATTTTGGAAAAGAATTGATAGACAGAAATGCCAAATCCTGTCTGAACATCTGGCTAACTGTGTGATAGACCATAATAACATGAATAAAGTTATTAAAGAAGTCAAGCTGAGAAGTCAAGAAGTGGAAGGATAATTGAAATACGCCCATCCTGTTCAGACGAGAAATCATCTAACAGCACAATAAATGCCACATTATCCTGTAACCTGACCTGAATCATGGCTGAAAGTGGGTTTAATAATCTGCTTTATCAATGATCTGCAATTGTCAAACAGCCACAATCTGCCTCCTGCCACAGTTGGAGACGGGACAAAAACTGTCCAGATTACTAATGTCAAGTGACAACCTCTTTGGAAAAGGGTGCACCTGTCAAAGCAGGGCCTTGAAATTATGCCATCCAGGAGCAAATTCATTCTCCATGGGCTGGCTGGCCCGTATCTACCCTGATAGTTCTCTCTACCCCTTATTATTGGGATGTTGCAACCTTCCCACGCTCCTTCAGAGCTTTCCCCCTTCTCTCCAGAAAAGTCCATATTTAGGCTCATATTCCCCACCTCATACACACAACCGACAATCAACCAATACTGATACTTGAGATGTTTCTGCAGAATACAGCATTCAGCCCCTTTAATAAAGTAGGTACCACTTCATCTCATCTTCTTTCTACCAACTATAATATACCATCATTCAGTCTCCTCTCACCAGATCACTTTCGTCTCCACCACATGCTTGCACCCCTTTCACCTCCAGCCACAGCCAATTGATAGCGAGCCTTTAGACTCAGCTGAACCTCTGCTGGCATTTCTTCAATGCCAATGGACTCCTAGCCCTCCACCTATGCCTCCCTATCATGAGTGTTTCAGAGAGGGATCATTGTACTCCAGTGATTTGCCCCAAGAGACGAGCAGCCACGCCTCCCAGCAGGTGGCTGAAAAGTGGGAGTGAAGGGGTTGGTATGTGGCAGACGCAAAAAGTCCTAGACTCCACCAGATTGCTTAGGGCTCAATTTCACAATCCCAAATGATTCCATTTCCCCACCGCCACCCCAGCTCTTAACTATGAGAAAGGTGAGCAGGATCAACTACAATCTAAACTTTCCAACTTGATGACTAGTCCTATTCCAATAAATCCTTTCATTCAAGTCCTTCTGAGTCATAGTAACTATTGATTAAAGCATTTCACATGGATCATTATTCTCTGCCATTACTGTATTTTTCGGAGTATAAGATGCACCAGAGTGTAAGACGCACCAAGGTTTTGAAGAGGCAATTTTTTAAAAAAGGTAGATAGAGGAATAGACAGGGAGAGAAAGAGAGAGAAATACAGTAGGTAGGTAGGGAGAGAGAGAGGGTAGGTAGGTAGGTAGGTAGGTAGGTAGGTAGGTAGGTAGGTAGGTAGGTAGGTAGGTAAAGAGAGAGAGAGAGAGAGAGAGAGAGAGAGAGAGAGAGAGAGAGAGAGATACAGTAGGTAGGGAGGGAGAGAGAGAGTGCGTAGGTAGGTGGAG